TTTGGTTTCCTTCACGCAATTTTCAAGGTCATGGCAACACATTGAAGATTTCATCATGTGAAGCTTCATGTTAAGCTTGTCTACGAGATACCTCAAGGACCGTTCCCTGCACTTTCTTCATATTGGACACCAAGCTTCATCTAGGGAAGGTGCAAGGCCCAGTCGATTTTGGTAACCTTCACATAATTTTCAAGGTCTCGGCGACACTTTGAAGATTTCAGCATATTAAACTGAATGTTAAGATTGTCTGCAAGATATCTCAAGAACGGTTCACTGGATTTTCTTCATAGACTTTCAAGACTTCCCTTGAATGTTTTTCAATCAGCAATTTCTCTATTACTAATTTTGCATATTTCATACACTAAGACATTCATGTCAAGGTCAAAATGAGTCTTGAAAATATTTGTGCGTTTGAACAACTACAGAGCAAGATATCAAGAGAGGTTGACTGGTCATGTTTTTGTTGACATTAAATTTCATCTTAAACTACGACCTTCACTTTCATTACTTTTTTAAGTTTGATTTGATAATTTGCGGTGGGGGATTATGTCACCTTAGTGACAATGCTTGTTTCTACAGATTATTGGAACTTTGCTGACGTGTGCTGTTATCATTCTGCAGCTGACACCAGGAGACATCGCACCTGCTTTTACCAAGGCAACCACTATTCCTTTTCTAAATACGTCAGTATAAGTGTACGGATACTCTAAGGTTACTCTAAGATTCAATATTTGAAATTTACACTGGAACCGGTTAGTTTGCACTAGTTCAGGAAATCATTGATCTTTAATGCTCTGGGGCCCGATCCACAAAGCGTTTGTAGCGTTAAGAACATCGTAAAACCTATCGTAACTTTAAGACACAAATCTTAAGCGATCCACAAAGCTATCTTAGTGAAAACATCTCGTAAAGTTAAGAGAAAATTTAAGAACGGCCAGCGCCTATCGTAAATCAAACATTTCTGTCGTAACTTGAGAATTAAGATGGCTGCATATTTTCTGCTCGGCTTAGTTGAAGAAGAGTCAAAACCATCACGACCAAGGGTATTTCGGGCTCGAACTCGGATTCTCGATACGCTGGATGATGACAGCATAGTCCGGCGATATCGTCTACCACGTCATGCCATTTTTGAGCTTGTAAACTCACTTTCTTACACACCCGTGGGTGAGAAACCCATGTGAGAAAACTGGTATCACACATATGTGTGAGATCGATTTCTAATCCCGTGATTGGCTACACCATGGTGATGACCTAGGGTCAGGTTATGACGGACTACTTTCCTGATTAAAATTCATTGATAAGTTACTCGTGCTTCAATCGAACAGAAACCTGTTACTCTTGCAAAAAATACCCCTTTACACCTACCTGTTATTTTCGCGATTGCAACATAAATAGGTATCTATACAATGAGTCACAAGTAGAATAAATATAACACGAGTCTATTTATTTTCTAATTCTATTTATTAAAACTTTCGATTTCTAGTCATGAATTCAAAATGGCTCGAACAATCAGTGATACCTGTGTAAACAATTATGTGAAAATGACCGTTAGAGATAAAACCCGGGATTTCCTTCGAATATTCAAAATGTACAACATTGGTACTTTTACTGGAGAGATGCGACAAGTGTCATGTGTCGTCTTGCAAAAATACCTGACACGATAACGCCAGTGCCTGTCCATTGTGAGATCGATTTGCCTCGTTGTTTCATTGATGCATTGATGAAGATGACATTTTTCACTGATACACATGATGAAGACCCACTTCCAGCTCCGAGATACTATGTGATTCTAATGTTATCAAATTCACTCATGACAATCAGAACCAAAACACACTCGTTGAAACAATGTTCAACATGGAACGTTTTGCAAGGCTTCATGAGTGCAAATGGCGGCACACGTCTTTTCTATTCAATCGAACATGTACAGGAACGGTTGATCTACACAAAAGCCATTGCTCGTGACATTCCTCCGACGCATGATAATGAAAATGAAATGTATTGATAACATTCAGGATGTAATCAACTCACATTTCATACTGAAAACTCCGTAAATTCTATTACATTCCAAGTGGCAGTTTCGGGCTCGGGAAAACGAGAAGGCTGTGGCGAAGAAGAGTAGTCCCCCATTTATGGTGAACGTAACCTCAGCAATGTCACATTCAACCACACTGGGTGCACCTAATTACACACACTCAAAAGTTTTGGCTCCAGTCGATGGAAGAACATTGAACATAAACTAGTATACACAAGTGCAGGTCTCCAATGTGCAGAGATAATCAAAACAATCTGCCGATGACGACAACCACCAAGCGATAACGATGACGTGACACGCTCAAATAATTAACGCTTGCAAGAATTAAAATCATCCACATTTGCATGGTAACATCATCGTTTTAGAGGGTTTAATTAATTTTCTGTGATCTTATCTAGTTATCATTATCACTAGGCAATATTGCCTTGATGTTGCGAAGTGGTGGCAGAAACTTTGTTGTGGAGGGTCACCATGGAGATGAGTAGTGATTAGGAACCAAGTGACGTCACTCATTCATAAACGTTGTGTTGTGTATTATTGCGCACCTACGATGAGAAAAAATGAAATTTGAATCTATTCGACCATAAAGTGGTGCGATTTTATGGTGTGCAAGAAACAGATTACTGTACTCGTGTCTGTCAGATACCATTTATCTTACAACTCGTTTAGTAATCTCTATATCACCATATCTTGCTTTCTTAACCGAGCGTTATCATGCATTGTCGCCGGAAACACAGGTTTTAATTGCCCTCAGATATTATGGTAAGGGATCGTTTTTCTCTGAGCTAGCGGACTTGCATGGGGTATCCCAGTCCACTGTGTCACGGGTATTTACCCGCACAAACGATGCTATTGTCAAACATATGAAGCAAATATCATTCCCAAAGGCAGCATCCGACCAACGAGCCACCAAGGAATCCTTCTATAACATAGCTAGATTTCCAAAGGTGCTTGGGTGTATCGATGGAACTCTTATCCCTATTTTGCGACCCAGCGATGACGAAGAAGCTGTTTACGTGTGCAGAAAGGGTTTCCATGCCGTAAACGTTCAAGCTGTCTGAGACGCAGAACTAAGGTACATGACACTACTTAGAAACTAACTACTATAGACCAAAACGTCCATATTTAATGCGTTATGCTTTCAGCATATGTATACTACCCGTATTCAAACATGATGGGAACTCATAATGTAACACTTCGAAGGATACACACCTTGTTTACTCCATTAATGACCTTGACTGTGACCAGAGGTGCCACCTATTCGTTTTCATAACCAATCATTACGCAAGGCCCAATATGGGTTATGCCATGAGGTCCAAAAAAGGTTGCTATTGCCGTTTTAGAAAGTAATTACATAAATTTTGTCAATAATGAATGCATGGTTGATGGAATAATTATAATTGTAATCCAAAGGTTCACAAGTGTGGTGTCAAAGTGGCCTGGGTCAGTTCATGACTCGTTTATGCTTCAAAACAGCAGCATTGGGCAGTACATGGAGACGGCTGGGATTGACGGATGGCTGCTAGGTGATTCAGGGTAAATGAATGAATGAATGAATGTGAATGAATGAATGAATGAATGAAATTAAAGTAGATTAAAATTTAAAGTTACATTGAAGACAGCAATGTTTAAATCAATCATGAAATGAATTTTTATTTCACCCTTTAGTTGATATGTATTATTGTAGAATTCATGTTGACTTTATGTTATTAATGGTATGGCTTATTTATACTTTTTTATTACTTTTCCATCAGATATGTCTGTCGCCCATGGCTGCTTACACCAAAAGTCAATCCAACCACACCTTCTGAGGAGCGGTACAACACTGCTCACTGCAGAACCCACAATACTTTGGAGAGGGCTTTTGGACTCCTCAAATCCAGGTTTAGGCATGTGCAAGTTCATACATTATTCTTCTAAAACTATTAAAACACTATTTGAGATGCTCATATATTGGAAAGCTTACTTTTTGGCTTTTTGAGATGTAATAATATAATACAAGCATAATGTGATATTATTGATACTCAAACTTCTTAGTAAATGAAAGACATGATCCGTCAAGAATACTTCAATATATAAGAATAATTTGACTAGTAAACAATGTTTTGTTTATAGGTGCCTACATAAATCAGGTGGCTGCCTCCCATTCAACCCAAAGAAGTGCCATCAAGTTGTGTATGCAACCTGTCAGTTACACAATTTCTGCATCAACCTCAGATTGCCAGCTCCTCCAACACTGGAAGACCTTACCCACGAAGATGGGATCTTACCAGGGACCTCTAAATGATGGTTTCAAAGTTCGACAAGCTGTCATAAAAAACTGCTTTTCTTAATCATGGTGTCATTGGGCACAGTTATAATAAATAATAACAATAGGTACAAGAACAGTCTGATTTTTTAATAGTTGTGCAAATGCATATTTGTCAAAGAAACTGAATGATTGGGGACACATTGAGTTCAGATTGGCCAGTTTGGTGCAGAGAGGTGATATAGGCAAACTTCTGCTCCTCAATGTGTAGTCTCTTCTTTTGAACTTCAAGCAGGTCCTTAAGGACGTTCCGTTTCTCACTCTCTATCATAACAGTAGTATCCTTATCTGAAATATAGTTTCATATTTTATAGCACAAGTTTTACACCAGGAGATATTTCCCATCCATCAGTATAGCAAATACACACAAACAAGTTCTTTAGCAAAATACAATTTCCATCTATGTATGTTTTGAAACTTCATGAATAACAGTACATACCACTAAGAGTCTTTGAGGACATCAAGTGTGCAACTGTATCAACTGCATTAACTGTATCAACTGCAATAAAGATACACATCATTTGATTTTAAAATGTTGACGTAGACATGAAAACATAATCACATGAATCTGAAATTCTGAGTAAAGACATTTTACTATTAAATGTATACCACCCATCTTCTTTCTCAATGTGAAACATAATACATAGAGATAGTGGACTATCAAGTCATTGAGCCATTCCAGTAAAACCTGTGATACTATGATATTGTAGATATGATGTCATATTATGTTGTGATAGATTACTTGCTTAAAACTGTCATAATTCTCTCTCCACACAGAACCCTATAAATGTCTTGTCCTAAACTTAATGAGCATTATATCCATGATGTACATGTTAACAACCTTGGGGAACATCATCTGCTGACAACAAACTCTCTAAGTAGGTAGGCAGACTGTAGGCCCCATCACGTGGCAAATCCGGCAGTACATGGAGAGTCTCAGGGGTGGCCGGAGTAGTGTCTGTAAGTAAAACATGAATTGTAATAACAATTGAAAAACTTTCATACAATCAAAAAGGAACAATCTACCAAAAGTATGGTAACTCAACTGCATTATTATTCAAATTTTTAAATCAATTTTAATTACTTCGGTTTCCTAACATTTTCAAATTCACCTTTATTTGTGAGACAATCTACACTATGTGTCAAATATATCAATTAACATTTCATTTGAGATTGTTTCAGCTGTAAACAATTCCACATATAACATTTCATGAACTTACATTCAAATTCCTCACTTTCAAGGCCACCATCACAACCTTGAATAGTGCATGAAGGCAGGAATGATACAACCTGAAATGAAATTGTTAAATTACAATTCAACAGCAACTGTATACACTGTTAACAATATGCCCCAATGTATTTCATATATCTTAATAAAGACAAACGTGAAATTCATTATTCAGAAAGGACTGTAGGCTCACCCGCTGTTCCATTTCTGTCAGGCTTGATGGTGGAGGCCCCCCACCAGTTTTGGTTGCCTCCCTCCTCCTTTCTGCCTCCTTTTTCCTTGTTTGACTCCTAATGAAACAAAAAAGTATTAATTTATATATACTGTCAGGCCAAACTTTATATATCCCATGCAGGTAGAATTTATTTAATACAAAATATTATGTTCAAAATATGATGTATTTGAGCACTGACTTCTTTTTTACATCTTTGGTAAGTCTCTTGACCCCACTGTTTGCACAAATTCTGTAACAAATGTCAATGAACTTTTATTAAGAAATTAGAACGACAAGCGTTAATCTTTGTGTTTTGATATATCAGAATCAGAATCAGAAATAATACATCCAGGAATTACATCGTCTAAAAGACGGATAGAGTGCTGTCCCTTTCTGCGAGTCAAAAATGGCTTCCAGTGTGACTGCAGCGTTAGCTCCTGACTATAATATCCTTTCAATGAAGCTAATTCCTACAGACTAGTTTCTGAATTACCACCGTGCGGTGACAGGTTGGTGAGAACGTCGCCTCCTCAGCAGGAGAGCGACAATCTTTATTTACGACAATGCTCGTAAGATAATGAATTTACGAATGGATTAAGAACGCTTTTATGGTTCGGTCGTATAAAATTAGTAAAACTTTCTTATTTTCGATCGTAAACTCTTACGAATAACGTAGGCTACGAACGCTTTGTGGATCGGGCCACTGCTCTCTTAAGGTCTCTTATGTTCCACTGAATATATGTGTACTTTCAATGAACATTACTAAGTGCAGATTGTCGTCGGTATTCCGTCCACAATACACCCATTTGCGTTCATGCTGTATTCTTTTGTCAGCGCTGCTTCACAATTTGTGAACCATTGTGGGATCTTTTTTCTCTTGGAGATCCTTCTCTATTTACAAGCACTATAGCAACGTAGGCAACTTTAGGAGGGCCCACCGAATATGAATTGATAGTTGCATTGTGAGTGAGTGACTTACAAAGGTCTCTTATGTGCCACTGAATATATGTGTACTTTCAATGAACCACTGTGATATCCTTCTTATCCCCCCGCAACGCGTTTTGCGGGGGGTATTAAAATGGACTCCGTCCGTGCGCATTTGTCTTTTCCGGAGCAGAACTTTAAAACCGTTCAATATTTCTTCACCAAACTTAGCACATGGATAGATCTGGTGGTGTACTGGTGCCTTTTGGTAGTTTTGGTATTCTGAATTAAATATTTTTTGGCGTTTCCATGGCAACAAGTTTGACTTAGATTGAAATTGGTGGTTGTGCTCTTTTCCGTAGCAGAACTCTAAAACCGTTCACTATTTCTTCACCAATCTTGGCACATAGATTGGTCTGGTGGTGTACTGGTGCCTTGTGGTAGTTTTGAAATTCTGTATAAAATATTTTTTTGGCATTTCCATGGCAACAAGTTTGACTTAGATTGAAATTGGTGGTTGTGTTCTTTTCCGTAGCTAAACTCTAAAACCGTTCACTATTTCTCACCAAACTTGGCACATAGATTGGTCTGGCGGTGTACTGGGGCCTTTTGGTAAGTTTTGGATTTCTGAATATAATATCTTGCATTTCCATGCAAACAAGTTTGACTTAGACTGAAACTGGTGGTAGTTCTGCTTTCTGGAGCAGAACTTTAAAAACCTTTAAATACTCTCCTACCACACACCAAAACATTTGACATAATCATAACTCGTAGACATATTCATGAAGAGTATTTTGCCATTGCGGGAGATATTGATGACTTAGTCTTCTTGTTCTCTTGGAGATCCTTCTCTGTTCACAAGCACTATAGCAACACTTGCTTGATATACGTCAACGTGATAGTCTCCATGTTAATTACTCTTCTCACCCATCAACTATATTGTGGCCAGACATTGTACAGTTTTGTAAGTGTTTCATCGCATCCTGATATCGGTGTACTTTGATCACATATCAACCTCTGGTTAGTCTACCTCCCACATGAGTACAATGAGTGAAGCCCATTTCTGGTGTTCCCCGCCGTGATGTTGCTGGAATATTGCTAAAAGCGGCGTAAAACCAAAGTCAGTCAGTCAGTCTACCTCAGGCTTCATTATCTTGAGGCTGCGGCAGTACCAGTGTGCTGAACAACAAGACAGTACATGACCCATGCCAATAGATGACCTTTCAGAAAGCACGAATCTACGGTGTCATGACAAGGTAATGAGTTTTGGTACCGAGGCAAGACTGGTTTGTCAAATCACAAGGAATGTCTCTGTAAAATAACTTAATCGTTGAATTCATTTTGTTGTCAAGTGATCTTGTAAGTGGTATTGTATAGTCCGTGTGTTTACTGTAATGTTATCAGTTGAAATCTATATACTCACAATAAAGTGCTTTTTCTGCAGACTGCTGCAACCTTGTCGTTGAATGATTTGCACTCTCAAAAAGTATATTTGGCATTGCACTTGTTTGGTAGAGTCCTGTCCGGGATTCGAAATTTACTAAAGAGATTTCTGGCTACTAAACGCGATAAGGTCTGGCATTGATTTTCCGAAATATTAGACTGCTCATTGGTATCATCTGCACAATCATACTTGTATGTGGAATACTTACAGCAATTATATATGCTTGATCACTGATACTTCTTTTTACTTATATGTCGTGAGTTCAAAAAATGAGACTGTGAACATGGCTATCGTCGCGATGATGATAGTAATAATTGATTTAATAATAACTGATTTTATCAAATATTTACTACTCATCGACAGGGGCTCACTGTCGCTATGACAATGTTAAAAACCAAGAAAGTTCCCTCGAAAGCTGTGTTTTATCTAGAGATTGAAAAGACCATTGGATTTGGTGTTTCTCAGTTCAGATGGCAGAGAGGTCCATAACTGGGAACAGCAAACAGAGAAGGCACGGTCAGACAGAAGGGTGAGAGAGTCCCACTGGCAAAAGTACATTTTCAGGTGAAAACTGGAATATCAAGTCCTTAAGGTATAATCGATAGTTATCATTGTTGAGATAATACGGATCTGTAAGATATTTCAAGACGAGGAGCCAGTGCAATGTTTTGAGAGCAGGATTGGTGTGTTCAGTTCTCGTAATCTTCTGAATTTGGTGTAACTTGGCTATTGCAATATTTGTAAAATTCACATAGACAGCATTGCAGTAACCACGCCTGGAAGACATAAGACACAAGGCTCTGCATCAACTGTTTAGCTGTTAGAGTATGCAGGAGATGACAGACTTTATTTATAAATGTAATAAATGCACTGATGGGACTATTATATAAGGCAAATGGCACCATCTGGAGCCAAGGTCTTGCGTTAATTGGATGTTTGACAAAAGCAAATGAATTGCTGTCTCATGCTGAATTGCTGATATTATTCGCAAATTATTCTACAAGTATGCCTCATATAATGGCTGTTGATGTGTGTCCTTTATTGATGGGTTCTATCCACTTCGTCAGAATTCCTGGCAGGTTTGTTTTTACGCGTTTATTTATTACTTTGTTTTTTTTGCAACAGCTGCTTGCATTAAACAAAAGGTAAGTACGTTTACGTTATGTCATTCTTTAGTCATAAATATCATTTATAAATATAATGTAAAGGAGAGACTGCCCAATCAAACTAAATATTTTCATATTTGTATATGGTAGATGCAGTAACGGACGGACGGCAACAAACAGGCACGACCAATCAACAACGACTGTACTTACAGAACTAACTCGTACATCGATAGGCAAGTGTGCATATCATCTGGCGATGGTGCTAGCCGACAACTAATTATACAATCATTACAACTTCCATCGAAAATAGTTATTTATATGTGTAAACTTATACTGAAATTTGTGATAATATTTGAAGTCTCTTCATATTGATCACAAAAGCTGATTATTTGAATACTTATTATTCCTACATCTACTTGTTGAATATAAGTGCACTTGGCACTTTAAACGTTCATAGAATAATATGTCTAGTTTTGTCATTATGAAACACACATGTAGATAAACTATATATACATGAATTCATAAGGTCACATGTAATCATCGAATATGCGAGGTCGTCGAACGGCTTTACCTCTAGACGTTCGGATGGGAGATGGTTGACCCGAGTCGACAGTTGTCTGATCACCAATACCTGAGAGGGTACGTAAGTCCCAAAACTTCAAAGTCAATTGAGTTCTACCAAACGTTTAATCGTAGCATATTTGTTAGTTTGATTAATGGCTAAAACTCAGTATAATCGCCAGCAGCTGAAGGGATGGTTGTTAATCCAGCTAGGGTCCATGCAGGTAGCAAACGTACTGTACGTAACCATAAACCCTAGTATGGTGATCTACCTTCAGTTGTTGGTGATCTATAGACCGTTTTTATTTTGTACTGTCTATACTGATTTGTACTGAGTTCTTATCAACATATTTCTGTTTCTTACTCATCCTCGATAATCTCCAGGGTATACGTTATGATCACTCTCCATTATACCCTGGATGCATCCACGGCTTGGCCGGATAATTATATTACCTCCCTTTGCTGGCTCCGCATTCTCACAGTAGCCAATCAGCTAAGCCGCCGTTACATCCGAGCTTGCCAGTGTCAACAAAGATAGCGGTCGCAGCCGCGAAAGATTGTTCGCAGTGCGACTCATTTGTTGTGTGTGTGTGTGTGTGTGTGTGTGTGTGTGTGTGTGTGTGTGTGTGTGTGTGTGTGTGTGTGTGTGTGTGTGTGAAACCATACAGACAAATTGACACGTCTGAAATCTTAAAAACATATGTACAAGAACTCCTTCTACCTCTTTCAGAGTACCTCTGCAACAATATATTATTATGTTGCCAAGTTTAATCAGTTAGATGATTTAAAAAGCGAAAGTAAGTTGTCATTGGTACGCTCAACTTCCCAGCGTGGACACCTGACTGGATAGAAAGCCAGAAAAGGGAGGTAATAAAATCATCGGGCCAAGCAGTGGATGCATCCAGGGTATAGTGGAAAGTCATCGTAACATATACCCTGGAGACTATCGAGGATGTTTCTCACTGAGCATCTGTTGGATTTCTTCTGGAGGATACGTTTGAGATGTACTTGCAGGCAGTGTTGATATGGGTGTGGTACT